CTTCAACTCACAGGAACCCCAAGAACAACAGAACTGAACCCTGCCCTGTCCTGCACCATCTTCAGCCCTCTGATGTGCTGAAGACCATTGTTATGTCACTGTATCAATTATCCCACTGTTGTTATGTGCTATCAAATCACTTGTAACTCATAGTGACCCTATACACAACAGCCCAATACCCTGCTCTATTCTGTGCCAATCTTATTGTCTCTGACACACCTACCCCCATTACCCCAGTCACTGAATCAATCCATCTCATCAAGGGTCTTCCTCTCTTGCGTTGTCCCTCCAACCTCCCAAGCATGATGTCCCTCTCCAAGGACTGGTCCCTCCTTGTAACATGTCCAAAGTATGTCAGATGAAGCTTCAGAATCCTTGCCTCCAAGGAGCAGCCTGGCTTCACCCTCTGAAGGATAAACCTGTTTATTCTCTTAGCAGTCCATGGTATATTAAAAATATTCTTGTCCAGCACCACAGCTCAAAACATCAACTCTTCATCTATTCTTCCTAGTCATTGTCCACCTCTGTGATGCTAGCAAGTGATCGCAAAGACCATGGCCTGTATCAGGTACACCTTAGTCTCCAGACTGACATCGTTGCTTTTCAGTACTTTAGAGAGGTATCTAACTGCAGACTTTCCCATCACAATATGTCTTCTAATTTCCTGGCTGCTGGTGTCAAGAGTGTTGATTGTCGAGCCAAGCAAACCAAAACTGAACAATCTCAATATCTTTAACTATCCATTATGATTCTGCTAATTAGCCCAGTGGTAAGAATTTTTGTTTTCTTGATATTGAGCCTCAATCCATACTGAAGGCTGCAGTCTCTGACTTTCTGCAGCAAGTGCTTCAAGTCCTCCTCAGTTTCAGCAAGCAAGGTTGTATCAGCTGCATAACACAGACTGTTGATGAGTCTTCCTCCAATCCTGATGCCACATTTCTCCTAAAAGAGGCCAGCCTCCCAGATAATCTGTTCTGCATATAGTTGGAAACGGTATGGAGATAGGACACATCCCTGTTATACACCCTTCCCAATTTTGAACCATGCAGTGGTTTGTTTTTTTTTTTTGCCCTGTTCTGATGACTGCCTCCTGATTCAAGTTTAGGTTTCGTATTAGCATGATCAAGTGTTCTGGAATTCCCATTCTTCTGAGTTAGCCACAGTTTGTTGTCTTCCACACAGTCAAACGCCTCTGCATAATCAATGAAACACAGATAGACATTCCTCTGGTACTCCCTGCTACAATACCCCTAGTACCACGACCCCTTCTAAACCCAATCTGCATTTCTGGTAGTTCTCTGTTGATGTGCTGTTTCAGCTGGTTTAGGATAATTTTCAGCAGAATCTTGCTTGCATGTTATATTAATCCCATTAGGTTGTTAAAAATCTACCAAAAGGTAAGGAAGTTGTAAAGAACTACAAAGACAAATATTTTGGGCCAGTCTTTTCAAACAGGGCATGATTCTTGGGAATGAAAAGAACACTGTTGCTTGAATTTAAATATCTTATGGTTGAAAATCATGCTTCTGTGCATACATATATACACGTATATTTTCTCATAAATTGTATGGTAATAGAACACTTCTAAATTTTTCTTAATATTCTTTTAAACAATAAAAAAGAGTTAAGCTTCAGTTATTCATCAATGTAAAACAGCCTGCAAATGTAAAGTATGCATGTTATACATGTTCTCTGCTAACTCAACCAACTTCTCTATTGGACCATAAGCTCCATGCCAATAGGACTTAGCTGGTTCATTTTCTCATTATATATTTGTGACACATCCCTAGGTACTGGGAAACGCAGGAAAAAGCAAAACCAAACAAGATTCCTGTCCTTAAAAGCTGAGAGTTCTATGTGAGAGACACATGAGTGGAACCAACACTGTATCAGTAATATGAAGCAAGATATGTGGAACAATGCTAATGTTACATAATAGAACTAATCAGGTATATCAGGGAAGGCTCTCTTGAAAATTATTATTTGGATTGTGATATGAGTCTGAGTTTATTCCATTAATAGTGTGAGGAAGTGTGGAGTTCTCATCCAGGCATGTAATAGATCCTGGGATGGAAACATTCCAGAGGCTGAAAGACCAGCTGAGCTGAAGTCTAGAGGAGAGCAGAGAACATGCTGGAAATGGTAATGAAGGGCTGTCTAGAGGACAGATTGTGAAACAGTACGTCACCATTTTAAACAAGTGGGAAGTCCTTGGATTTGCAGGTGTGACAGATGCACATGTTGGAAGAGAGAATTGTTGTGGAGCACAGATTAGAAAATCCAGAGGGGCTTAGAGAGAAGGGCCAGGTGCTATTGGAGTGGCACAGGTGAACGATGCTTGTCATTGGCCTCATGTGGTAGTGATGGAGACGTAATAAAGCCCACCCTCCTTCTACCATCACATCTTGATAGGCTGCCTGGCACACACATAAAATTGGATAAACACACAAAAAGGGATGACGTTAAGGCATTAGTTTTCTTTTCAAATGTAAAACAATAATAATAATAAAGTCCTAACATTGCCTAATGGTGCACACATACCTGCGCAATCATCATCTCTGTCCTTTTAAAAGTCTGAGTCTTAGTTACCAAATCTTGCTCCTAATGAGAAGTAAGCTTAAATAGGATGTAAGAGAAGAGCTTTGCAAGCTTTCTTCAGCTTCCTTGAAACTAGGAGAATTTCAAGTTAGCAAGAGTGGTTAAAAAAAGAGGAGATTAAGCATGTCCTTTCTTTAATCCACAACAACAAAACAGTAACTCATAGCTGTTGAGTTGGAAATGACCTGTAGTGGGTTTTCAGAGGCTATAAAACACACAGGAGGAGACTACCCATCTTTATCCAGTGTAGCAGTTTGGTGGGCTCGAGCTGTCAGCCTTTGTTTGGATTGGCAGGTTGATTCCTTACTGGTAGGCCAACAGAGCTCTATGCAAATACAGAAGTCTAAGTTCTGGGGATATTGACTTCGTATATCAGGAATCTCTCTCAGTTATAGACAGGCTGAGGGAGACAGCTCCAAGGAGGCAGCTGATCAGAAAATATACTTATTCTACAAAAAGAATATTGAACCCAGCCCACACAATTACCACTACAGGGACCAGTCTGTTTTCCTTCTTCATTTTAATCCTTCCCTCTTGTCCCACCTAGCCTTCCTTCCTGACAACTTTGAATTTAATACACATTTTTTTCATACCTTTATTTCTGCTCTTATTCACAAAACTGAATATTTGCTTCTTGTCTCAACTTTGAATTCTGATTATTTTATTCTTAGGCTGTTATCAGTAACTGCTCTTAAATTGATGCCAACTCATAGAAACTGTCATGTGACAGAGCAGAATGGACTTAATTATCATTAAATATAATGGTTTTTAACATATAACATGGTTTTCATTATAGTTTAATATAATGTAGGAACTTAAGAATCTAATGGAAAGCAGACTAGACAATATCATCTTCTTTAATAAAATAGTAAAACTGCAGCTGAGAAATAGGTTCCCACAAGGAGTTCTCTGTAATTGGAATTTTCTCTGCTGACAAATTTTGAGTATGTGATTCATTGTTAATGTAAGGAACACGAAATCCATGAAAATCCTATCTGAACAATCATAAAGATGTGTACTTGCTGAGGAGAAGTCAAACAAAGGTCCATCAAGGGTAAATTATTCTACTGGTATTTTTACTGTTTATTTTTGAATGATTGAAACATCAATGTGAAAAGTTTAGCACATTGTTAGCAAGCCAGATCTGACTCATGGCTACTTCTCTACTGGATTTTTGAAGGCTATAAATTCTATGGGAAGACACTGTCCATCTTTCTCCTAGGAGTGGCTGGTAGATTTGAACCACCAGTGAGGCCCTACCTTTGGTTACCAGCACAACTCCATGTGGGTTATACTACCAGACCTTCCTTCTTACTGTTGTGTAATGTCAAATCAGAACCGACTCATAGTTGAACTTCCAGGGGGTTTTTATAGACTGTAAATTACATGGGAGAAGACTGCTCATCCTTCTTCCTCAGAGCAGTTGGTGGATTTGAATCATGCACCTGTAGGACTGCAACACAGCTTCTCATCACTAGGCCACCAAATTTCTAACTATTAAATTTCAGAGTCCCCCTACTAGGTGTATTAACACCAGGAATAAAATACTTGACTCACTAATTATATATGAAAAACTTTATAAAGTTATTTGCATATGGGTCAGTTACTCATTTCATTCACTGTGGCTTTTGTAGAAATTACTATTCCCTCCTATTCTTAAAACTTAGCTTTTCCTGTCAAGGAAATGGAATTGATACTTGGTCTCTTGTTACACTAAATGTTTTGCAATTGAAATGTTCCAACGCCATTTGACAACTCAAAGGAAATAAGGCTGAAATTTGCACTGGTGCTTGAGAGAAGCAGATGCAGGGAAATGCAGAACAGACTCTGCTAGTTGCCTCACTGACTGCAAAAGCCACCACACAGGGAAATGTGTGTGGAAGGGGGTGCCTGCCCTTTAGGTGCTCAGAAACTCAGGCTCTGGCTACACCATTTGTCAGGAATGGAACTGCCTATGGAGTGAGTGTGCCTGCTATGCAGCTCAAATGCCCCAGATAGAGTTGACATGCACATCATTAAAAACAGAAGACATGTTCAACAGTTTGAATGTACAGCAGTTCACCACTTAATTTAGCAGAGACAACCCAACACCAGGACCCATTTTTGCTTTTGCCCTCTAAAATAAAATGATAGACTGCCATTGCCATTCATTTGCTGTTGAGTGACATAACGTTTTGGTTTTCAATTGTGCTTTGAACTAGTGTAGAATGGTTACAATCCTCAATGGCAACCACAGTAATGCTACTAATCAGCAACCCAGAGGACCTTACCTTGGCCTATGACAACCATGCATGCAGCCATGCAACCATGCACTCATGCAACATTGTTGCCCACAACACGGTGCAGAGATGGCAAAGAAAACCAGGGGGGCCATGCCAGGGTTCGTTCCAGGGTCTCCTTACCAAACAGTGAAATCCTATGCCTGACAAGAACTCCGAGTTTGCAGAACAGGCTGAAGACAAAAGAAAACCAAAAGAGAAAAGGGAAGGGGCAGGGAAGGTAGAAAAAGACAGGGAGAAATTAAAACAAAAGAAAAAAAGAAGAAACAAAAAAAGAAAAATAAACAGCTGATATATGAGCCGGGGGGGGGGGGGGAAGCAACATGATGTCAATGCACAAAGAATCAATTCTCTGAGCAGAATGTGGAGTAAAAGATATTAAAGAAAGAATCTTTGAGTGCATATCTTTAACAAACATGGTTAAAAAAGCACATATTATAAGTAAAGAAACCAAAATAAATTTGAAAGCAAAGCTAATTAATATATAAGCAATCTACAGGAATTCCACCAGATTACAACTACTGAGAATACACCCAGGGAAGAAGTTGATTTTATCTACCCAGATGTGCTACTGAAATACAGAATTTATTATTATGGACAACAGACAAATGGGGCTTTAGTCTTAATGTTTTCATACACTGTATTGTATGAAATTTCCCTTCCAACCTTGACTGGACTCCTCACACACATCCCAAAATACCAAGGAAACAGACTTGAAAGCTGTGATGTAGAAACAGACTTTGAATGGATAACCACTCAAAGGAAAACACTGCAAATGTGGTCATGTAAAGTGCTCTCCATACCGATAAGGGAATGAACTTCGGAGCCTGGCACCCTTTATGGCAACCCAAGGTGGCTGGTACTGAATACAGCTGCCTTTACCCAACATCCAGAACAACCACACTGATAGTGCCCAGGAAGTATGGGGTACTTTTCTTCTTACCAAGCCTCTGTGCCACTTGTCCCTGGAAGTCCCTTGTTGGGAATTCCCTGGACTTGTCTACACTTCACACTGCCTTCTACCCATTTCAGGACTCTGCCTAGGAGTTTACTCCAAGAAGTCTCACCTAACACCCAGAATCACTTCATTATCCATCTCAGTTTGAAATGGTGCTTTACAGCTGTCTCCTATGCAACTAGTGACACCCGACTGACATCTAGCCACACCAGAAAGAGCATGTAGGGGCACAGGCTGTACATAGTTTTTATAGGCAGTCGACTAGGACTCAGAGCTGCTCTGTGAACCACAGATTGGAACCCTGTCCTCCCTGTGCTGTCTATACATTGAGGACTCTTCCCCCCACCACCACCCCCAAAGCCTGCACTGACTATCCATTTACAGAGAGCACAAGACACACTCAGTTTGATTTTCCCAGTGATAACTGTTGCATCTGCACTGCCCTGCATTCTCTAAACTCATTTGGGCCCAGTAGCGCACAGACACACAGCTCATCAGGGTTAGGGACAGAGGTTCTGTGAGGACAAGGGACCCATGGGGGAGGATATACAGGTTAGAACCTGTGCTATTTCCTTATTCTGTAGCAAATTTTAACCAACCCATCCCACTTCAGTGACAATGTGGAATAATTTGTCACTGCAAACTAACAACATAGAGCCATCTGTAGCTTTTCCAGGAATTCTTACCCTCCCCCCCCCGCCCCCATGTCCAAACGAATATGAGGAATTGGAATATCTCCTATAAAAAAGTTATTTTTTTATTGCTTCTTGGCTAAGAGCAACTGTAAAAACAAACACCTTTTCCCCCCTATTTTTTTAAGGCGATCTATTCAAGTTGCTACTGAACATGAAATTAGAAATTAGATGATTTGACCTTGCTTTCTAATTAGAAAGAAAGAATATAAAACAAAATAAATACTCAAAAACAACTATGCTGTTGTGACCTTACCAACTGGAATTCACAGCTGCTATCCTCTGAGGTCTCTCTTGTCTACTAAACTGAGTACATCTCAGAATCGTCATATCCTCATTCCTACTCTCAATGCATTTTATAATACCCTTTATCTTCTTTTTTGGTGAGAAAAATTTGTCTTTAGAATTAGCCAGCTGGACTCAGTTTAGATGATCCCAATTCTGTTGGCAACATCCAAAGCATTATTTTCAGGAACAAGTTGAACATAGGCCTTCTTCTCTCCATCAGGCCTAATCAAAGTGTTGACCTTGGCCACGTCAATGTCATAGAGTTTCTTTACAGCTAGTTTGATTTGGTGCTCATTGGCCTTGACATCCACAATAAATACAAGCATGTTGTTATCTTGTCTTCTTCATAGCTGAGTCAGTGGTCAGGGGAAACTTGATGATGACATAGTGGTCAAGCTTGTTTCTCTTCCGGGGGTATTTGGGCTGCCTTCAGAGTCTCAGCATTCAAGGCCGCCAGAAGGTGAGTGACATGCGGATCTTTTTTTCTGTGGCTGTGGATGCCCTTCAGGACTGCCTTCTTGGAAATTAACGCCTTTGCTTTGCTTTCAGTTTTGGGAGGGTTAGGGGCTTCCGCCTTCATTTTCAGCGCTATCGTCATAGAAACAATAACCTTTATTTTATATTGTAATTAGACTGAGGTTTATAAAACAAATGGACAATCCAGCTAACCATTCATACACATTTTGGTTTGTAAATGCTTCTGACCTCCTCCCTGTGAGCCTCATTTCCTTTTATCCTTCTAGTCTACCTCTTCCTATCTTCTGGATTTTATCATTGGGCAAATGCTTTCTTTGACCATATATGGTGGGTTAGTCTCAGGAGGGAGTGTCTTCCTGGTGCTACTTCTCACTTTTTAAGTCTGGCCACAAAAGTTGAGTTCCGTTCCAAATTTTCAAGATGGCCATAGTTCTAGGGGTTCCACCAATCTCTACCAGACCAGTTGTTTTGTACCACGGAGTAGGAATCAACCCATAGCTGACTGACCCTCCACTGGGTTTTCAGAGGCAGTAAATTGCACTGCAGAGGTTGCTCATCCTTTCCCAATGGAGCAGCTGGCGGATTTGAACCACATGTCTTTCGGATTGCAGTATAGCTTCTTGCTACTAGGCCACAATAGTAATCCTGGTCATTCTCATGTTAGGGTTTTGGTTTGTTTCCTCCCATATTTCCCCAGACTGTATTCTGGACTATCTACCATAGTCCTTTTTAGTGTTGTCAACTGAGATATGTGTGTATCATCTAAGTTCTTCTGGTCTCAGGGTTGTAGGAGAGGTCCACATGGTCTGTTTGTTCCTTGGATTATTATTTCTATGCATCTTTGCTCTTCTTTCATTTCCTTTGTTTCAGAGAGGAAGCAATTATAGTTTTGGTAGTTAAAATCCACAGTGGCTCCTCAGGAAAAAAAAATGAGAATCTTCTCTGTGTGATTTCTAGGCCTCCATAAAACTTACAGGAATGACAGCTATGAGTTGATTCTGACTAGAAAGCAGTGAGATTTTGAGTTTTGATTCTGCTACTTACATGGATATATTTACCACGTTCGTCCTGGAAAGGGTTAAACCGGGTGGCTCCTTGGAAGCAAGGATTCTGAGGCTTCGTCTAACATACTTTGGCAATGTTGTGAGGAGAGACCAGTCCTTGGAGAAGGACATCATGCTTGGGAGGGTGGAGGGACGGCACAGGAGGGGAAGGCCCTCTATGAGGTGGATTGATTCAGTGACTAGGATAATCGGGATGGGAGTGTCAGAGACAGTGCAATTGGCACAGGATAGAACAGAGTTTAGGGCTGTTGTACATAGGGTTGCTATGAGTCTCAAGTGACTCGACGGCACATAACAACAACAACATTAATATGAATATAGATACATCTCCAAAACATGGTTGTAGTCTTTTTTCAGCTGTCCATGTGTAGTCATCTGGCCCATCTATCTACCTGCTTGTAGATGAATGTTTCTTATTGCTGCTATTTTTTATTATGTTTGTAATGCTGTTTATCTCTCTGTATTCCTTGTATATCTCTCTATACATTTGTTATTTTAATGAGATTGTGCTACCAGCCATTATAACTCCCTTCCCTTTCACCCATCTTAATTTGTGTCTGGTGACCTAGTGATAAGAAACTGCAATCTCAAAGGCATATGCTTCAAATCCAGCAGCTGCTCCACAGGAGAGGATGGGCCACTTCCCCCCCCCCCCATGCAATTAACTGCCTCTAATATCTTGCTAGAGGCATCAGCTATCGGTCAGTTTCAACTCAATGTTACACAACATTTTCTATGACCTGTTTTCATTTTCCATCCTTGGTAACCATTCAAGAATGTTTCTGTGTTTAAATTGAGTGGGGTATTTTTACCTTTTTATTAGAGTGGTCTAAGACAATATTTATCCTTTTCCACTTCCATTCATACATACAAAGAACATACATAGACTGCTACCAGTATTGTAACTGAAAAGCAGTTGTGTATTAGAAAGTTAGGAATAAAAATACCATTTGAACTAGCAATCCCACTACTAGGTATAGATTTCTAATTTCATTCAGTTTATGCAGTGTTTTGACAATTCTTCGCTGTTGCATAGTACTCCATTGTGTAGGGAGCTCTGGTGGTATAATCTATGACTGAGTAAGGAGCTGTACTGCTATCATCCCAAAGGCTATGCTTTGCTAGTGGTTCATATTCACCATATACTCCTCGACATAGAGAAGCAGTCTCCTCCCATGAGATTTATGGCCTCAGAAGTCCAATGAAGTGTCCAGCTTTGAGTCAGAACAGATTTGATAGCAATTAATTATTTTTTATGAGATTCCATTGTATGAATATACCATCGTTTCTTTAACTATTGATCTGTTGATCGGCACTGGGGTTGATTCCATCCCTTTGCTATTATAAATAAAGCTGTATGCCACTACTTTTTTTTTATGTCTTTAGGATCTATGCCTACTAGTGGGATTGCTGGTTCAAGTGGTATTTTTATTCCTAACTTTCTAAGGAAACACATAACTGCTTTTCAGAATCGATATACCATTCTGTGTACGTTCCAATCTCTCTACACCTTCAAAGGCATTTCTTGTTCTCTCTTCTTAAATTTCATCATTGCTTCTGGGATAGGATAATAATCCTTTGTGAAATATGTCATTGACAAGTATTTTCCCCCAATATGGATGTTCTGTGGGTGTTGGTGGTATAGTGGTGAGCATAGCTGCCTTTCTATAATATGTAGGTTCTCCTTTGACTTT